CCTTGTGCTTGCCGGGGAAACACTTATTTCACTGAGCCATCTCCCCGGCTCCTATCCATATTATTCTTCACTTTGAAGTTTATAGGATTTTATAGCTTAAAGAATTTTTATTGGGCTGGGGAGATAGCTCAGCCACATAAGCACCTGCCTGGAAAGTACATGGTCCTGAGTTCAATCCCCGATGCAAAAAATAAAATTAAAATAAAATAATTATCTGCAAAACATACTAGATATTCTAATTTATTAATAAGAATTTGAACATAATTGTTTTGATTAAAATATTTTTTAAAATTTTAAATGAGATTAAATTGATCTGAATAACTGAATAAAAGGTTTACCTCTTTAGGCACTGTAAATATTTCTGGAAAAGTAAAAAATAGACTATATTGTAATAATTTGTAGAGATTTGAGACTAACATTTTAAATACATATTCTTTTGTTCAAGAAGCATTACATATATGCAGCTCATCAAAGAATGTTCTAGAAATGGGGACTTGAACTATGAAAAAAAAAGACTTCCACTGCTACCAGAAGTGAAAGTTGTTACCAGGAGAATCAGAAGATAAAATTTATTATAGATAGCATGATGAGTGCTTATGAGTTTGTTAAGCACTGTGAAGGTGTGATAGAGCCAAACTCTGCCTGTGGGATACTGATTAGAAAGCTGAGGCTAGGTGTTCTGTAGGAGACAAGATAGAGGAAGAGAGTTGCAGGTAAAAGGAATGTCTTTTGCCTAAAAGTATAAGAGAATGGTGCAATATAAATAGGATGCTTTTTTGTGCAATGTAAATATGATACATTGGAGAGCGCTAGGTTACAGAAAAGATACTCATCCAACCATGGTGACACATATCTGTGTCCCAGGTGCTTGGGAGGTTGAGGCAGCATGATTGCAAGTTTGAGGCCAGCCTTGGCAACTTAGCAACACTGAGTCAAAATAAAATTTTAAAAAGGCTGGTAATGTAGCTCGGTGGTAGAATGCTTGCTTAGCATACATATAACTCTGATTCAATAACTCCTATGGAAGGAAAGAAATTTTCATACTAATGAAGGAGCCATAGTGAGCCTCAGTGAGACTAAAGCTTCAGTGAGCTACTCCAGAGGGGAGAAATCCCACCCTTGCCCACTACTGACAGAGCCACAGTGAGCCTAGGAAACTTCTCTTTTCTAGGGAGCCTCAGCCAGGAGGAACCCTGATGTCCGGCCCCTACACATACACTGGGTCCGGCAGCCAGCACGGGAAGCTCTGGAGACACAGCAGCTGTGTTGTCCAGAGGAACCCAGGGTAAATCCACTCTAGCAAGGGGAAACACTTTGCATACAAGCTCCTAATTTAGGTCAGTTCTCTTTTTTTTTTTTTTTCGGAACCAGGGATTGAACTCAGGCCCTTGCGCTTGCCAGGGAAGTGCTTATTCCACTGAGCCATCTCCCTGGCCCCAGTCAGTTCTCTTTTATATCTATAGACTTTGCTTCTATGGTCTAAATTATAAAATCAGTAGCTACCACAGTTCATTAGTTTCTAAATTATGCTTATTACCAGTTGTAGTACTGTAGCTAGGATGTCATATCTGTTGTAATAAGTTGTTCTTTGGGTAACTGTATTGGGAAGCTCTGGGATACTAGCCTCATCATAGCCCTACAACAAAAAGCTGGGGACTGAGCCACACAGAAACCAACATCTCACTCTCAGTTGGGAAGGTAGGATCTTGGGACAGTCACAAACCAAGAATTTCCTACACACAGAAGGTATCCCTGAAGTACATACAAATAATGATCTCCTATGATATTGTTGTATTCAGCTAAATTAGATAGAAATATTACAGGCAGTCAGACAGGCTAGGCCCTGAAGGAGACAATATGGAAGACAAGACTTTACAACTGTGGGAGAGACAGATATCTCCCTTCCCCCCAACTGTGGGCCAGACCTCAAGACCAAAGATCGGACAGATGCATTCCTCCATAAAGATAAGCATAGGGTATTGATAATCACCTTGAAGCCACGAAGAGTCACCCAGCCCCTACAAGATAAGCCACTGTTCTATATTCATGCCCTCTTGCTTATATGACTTGCTTGTCATTTGGTCCTGTTTTAATCAATTTTACCTGAGCAATAGTACTTGTAGTCTTACTGGTTGACCATAGTTTTGTCCCACCTCATTTGTGAGTTCCTATGTTTTCCACTTTAGACCCACCTCACCTTATGATCTTTCTCTTTAAAAATCCCTAGAAAAGGCAGATTTCTGGGCATCATGCTCAGGTTCCCTTCTGTCCCTCTCTCCTACAGAAGCTTTCTTTCCCCCAATAAATATTCTGCTCTTAAATTCCATTGTTCCTAAAATGCATTCTTCAGTTCTAGAGAACACGAAATTGTTCCAGGTATCTTGCAGGTTTTATTCTTCTATATCATTATGAATTAACTGATTTTGTATAATCTTATGAGACTATACTGGTGAATAATTATAATAATAAATGATCAAAATAAAATATATGATAATTTAAATTACTTACATGTTAGCATTCACATGTATCACCTGCATCTTGCTAAAATGCACATTTGCTGGGTGTAGTGGCACATGCTTGTTATTCCAGCACTCTGGAGGCTGAGGCAGGAGGAGCAATAGGAATTCAAGGCCAGCCTAGACTACATAGTGAGTTCATTGTCTGCTTAGAGTACATAGTAAGACACTGTCTCAAAAAAACAAAAAACAAACAAAAAACCCACCACCTTCCTGGGCCCTAACATTTGCATTGCTCTCAGTTAAAAATCTCACCAGGGAGCCCAAGAAGTTTTTATTTTTAGTGTTACATAGTTGGTTTTATATTAAATGGTCCTCAGATTGCATTTCAAGAAAGTGTTAAATGGGTAGTATGTTTGATAATTTCTCTGAGCTCTGAAACGGGTAATGTGTACCCTAATGTGGAAAAAATAATTGAGATGAAGTAATAAACTATACTGAAGATA